CTAATTTCAGTAGGCTGTCTGCTCTCTCTCTCTCCGATATTCTCCCAGCTTCTGCCCGTTTCTTCCCTCCTAAGATTGCGATGAAGACGTAGATTTCCTAATGCGAGTCATTTCTTATCGCATAAGTTTGCTATCCGTGCTAGGTTTGCTATTCGAGTCGCGTTTCCTATGCGAGTCGCGGCACCATGACGTCGCTCACCCTCTTCGTGGAGGAACGACGCTAAATCCTTCCTAGGCTTCGTATCCGAGTCACGGCACCATTATGTCGCTCCCCCTCTTCGTGGAGGAACGACACAGGACCCTGCGCTGTTCTTTCGTCTGCTCGGCCCTCCCCGGGTTTGCTGCTGGTCCTTCCCGGGTTGGCTGCTGGTTCTTCCCGGGTTGGCTACCGTCCCTTCCACCTCCGTGGAAGGGCGGTTCCCCCTGCCACATTCCCCACTTCCGCAGGGGAGCAGCACACCGCCGGCCGGCTCTCTCGGGGGCTGCACAGGTGTTCCTTCAGGTAGATGTTCCTCTTAGATGTTCCTGGTGAATGCCGTCTCTCTCCTCCTTTATAGTCCTCCTCCGCCAATCCCAACTCGGCTGCCCACACGCCGAGTACGCTGCTCTCCAATCAGGAGCAAGTCCTACAGTTTATTGGTTGAACTGGAGGCAGCTGTGCGGAAGCTGTTTACTTCTCTCCCAGCGCCATATTGTGGGAGAGCAGATGCATAGAATAAGTCTTAATTCCAGTAACTCAGTCCAGTCCGGGCTGCTCCCCACAATAGAGTAATACATTTCATACTTAATTTTAAGTATGTACTTACAAATAAGTTGAAACAAAAATTAAAAGCAGACATGTGTTTATTTCAATTGTAACTCAAAAAAATTATGTGCATTCTACCAAAAATAATATGAGGAGTTTTACTTAAAAAAATTAAATATTACTCTTCTGGAGCACTTTTCTTGGGCATTTATGGCAATTTATCCTATCATACAGCATCACACGCAAGTAACTTGGAACCCTACTTATTCTCTATTACAAAAGGATACTTCAGAAAGTTTTTGGAAAAATGGAATTGAAAAATAAGTTTATTTTTATACAAAATATTTTGAAATCTATGTATGCCTTTTCCATAATATACATTTTCCATGAACTTTCTGAAGACGTCCTGTACGTGTGAGTATCCAAATTTTTCCACCAAAATAAATTTATCTTTTAATCCCATTTTCCACAAATTTTCTGAAAGGTTTCTATGATGAAGAATCTCATCATCACAGACCCTGTGAAACAGCTCCTTGAAAGGTCCTGAAGATTTCCTGGGCAGGGCAGGCACTGTGGTGGGTGGGCTAAGCCTCAGCCTGAGACGCCAGAGTGCCATTTTGGCTCCGGTTCGTGTCCCAGTTGCTCCTTTTCCGATCCAGTTTTCTGTGAATGACCTGGTAAAGCAGTGGAGGATGGCCCAAGTGCTTGGACTTCTGCACATATGTGGGAGACTCAGAAGGAGCTCCTGGCTCCTGGCTTCAGATGGACCCAGCTCCAGCCATTGTAGCCATCTGGGGAGTGAACCAGTGGATAGAAGACCTTTCTCTCTGTAACTCTGCCTCTCAAATAAATATATAAATATTAAAAAAAAAAAAAAGGATTTCCTGATTTTCTTCAGAGAAAGCTGATAAAATGGAAAACAAATGAACTTATCAACAGAGTATGAAAATAATTACATTAAATGTATTAAAAAAATAAAGTTCTAGTCCCAGTCGGGGCGCAGGATTCTGTCCCGGTTGCCCCTCTTCCAGGCCAGCTCCTGCTGTGGCCCGGGAGTGCAGTGGAGGATGGCCCAAGTGCTTGGGCCCTGCACCCCAAGGGAGACCAGGATAAACACCTGGCTCCTGCCTTCGGATCAGCACAATGCGCTGGCCACAGCGCGCTGGCTGCAGTGGCCATTGGAGGGTGAACCAACAGCAAAGGAAGACCTTTCTCTCTGTCTCTCTCTCTCTCACTGTCCACTCTGCCTGTCAAAAATTTTAAAAAAAAATTTTTTTTAAAAAAAAGGTGTCTGTTAGTGGATTCTTTTGACAAAGAAAAGTTTCTTGGTGATTAAACTAGAGTTCCAAAGCATCAAAGTCCTTCCACAGGTTTACAGATTTTTTATAACATCCCTGTAAGTGCATTTAAAAACTTCCACACACGGGCCACGCTGTGGCGTAGTGAGTAAAGCCACCACCTGTGGTGCTTTACTCCCATATGGGCGCCGGTTCAAGTTCCCGCTGCTCCACATCTGACCCAGCTCTCTGCTGTGGCCTGGGAAAGCAGGAGAAGATGGCCAAGTCCTTGGGCCCCTGCACCCGTGTGGCTTCCGACTGGTGCAGCTCTGGACGCTGAGCCAATTGGGGAGTAAATCAGCGGATGGAAGATCCCACTCTCTCTCTCTGCCTCTTCTTCTCTCCCCATGTAACTCCAACATTCAAATAATAAATAAATAAATCTTAAAAAAAAAATTTCTACACTGCTATAAACAAGACCTACGCTTTGCATGATAAAATTAAAAATTTGGGTAAGTCACAAAGTAGCCAAATTTTGACCATACAGGAGACTTTCAAACCTTTTATTCTTTAGATATGAAACCCACAAAGGAAGTTACCCATGCCAAATGAGATCTACTATCAATGAACAAAAAAGAAAAGTTTTAAAATGAAAGGTACTTACAGCTGCTCGCCGAACATAGACAGGATGAGAAAGGTGCACATTATTCAGCAGAAATAGGATGGAGTCCAATGTGTAGTACTCTCTAGGCTGGCCTTCCTTTCCAGTCCTAGAATAATTGAGATTTTTATCACAATTCCAAGTCAACTCTCCAGACTTCGTTATATGTTGTAATTTATCTTGCACCCAGTGCAAGATATATTTAACAACATATTTGACACAGTTAACAGAAACACAGGTAAAGTATAAAATCGAATAAGCAGACTTCCATTAGATTAAAATGAACACAAAAGAGACATGACAAACGCGAGAAGCCGGGAAAGCACAGAAGTTACCCTTTAAGATGAGATACTTGTAAGTAGACACACACACACTCTTCTCTATTTAGGCCCAAAGAACTGTCTGGTATCTGTGAACAGAGAAATCTCACTAGTTACAGATTGGAGAGAATCTCTAAGAGAAAAGAACAGGATTTCATGAGAAGCACAACCACCAGCACTGGTGGCGAATTTACAATCAATTTATCGCGGGGCTCTTGCTAAACAGACCGCTGTTGGGCAACATTCCTAACCATGTTACAGAAAAGGTAGCAATGATTCTTAGGACAGCACTGAAATCAGACCACTGACTCCACACCAAACTGTGACTCCACCTGTGATTAAAACCATGTAAGCTAGCGGTACAGGCTTAATTCAAGCCCATGCACTACTTCATTCCAATCCCACATTTCTTCTTGACATCTAGAAACATCAAAGTACGATTTGAATTCAGCTGAATACCACGCACTATTCTCCATAAGTAATGCACTTTGCAAACCTCTGCCAGTATCTCCACTTTTCCTCTAAATCAATGTATTTCAAACCACAAAGTACGAAGAAACACTGTACTACGAAACTCAGTAAAGCCAATATAGACTTTTTGTAGGATATGAAAAAGAGAAACGCACTGCAGGGAATAGTACTGTGCGATGCTTCACATACATGTGCATAAATGCACTCGCATACAAACAAAAATAATTTCTTGGTTGAATTCGCTGCTGAAAAAGCCTGAAATCTGCTGTGAGCACTGCTTTTTCACTGGCTGTCAAACATTTCCTTTCCGAGTCTGACGCCCGTGAGCACACAGTTCCCTCACCCGAGAAGGCGGGATGCACCGTTTCGGTGCAGAATTCCGACCCATTCCTCAGAGCCTACTCCCTTGTTCACGCAAGGAAACCTGTTGGATGGGAACACGCGGAAAACACGTCCATGCACACTCCCCGCAACACCCCAACCAGAAGTGACGGCTGCTTTCCAGGGAGCGAGGGAGCATCCCGCATCACCGCGGCGGGGTCCTCTCCTCTATCCACGTAGGGCGACCCACGCTGGGGCAGGACAGGACCGCTGGGACTGCTCCGACCCAACCGCTCCTGCCTCCTAAGTCTTGCTTGATGACGTTTTACGCGCGGAAAAAAAAGATGCAATCTCGAATGTCATTCCGTCTGCCTGTGCAAACTCTCTGAAGGGATCACAAGGCAGGAGAACTCGGAAGGCTGTCACTTCACCAAGGCTTCGTGAGCTCACTTCACCGCACGGGAAAAACTAGAGAGACCTGGACGCCTCAAAAAGCCGACTTCCATCCACTCCCCAGGCAGAAGGCAGTAGCAAAGTTGGGACCCAGGGCTCTCACCACCCCAGCGCCCGAGAGGCCGGACACGGGGATCGAACCCGTCTCCGGACGCTCCCCCGAACCGCGGCCACCCGCGGCACCCCCGCACGCTTCTGCCACCCGCGCTCCACGCCACTGCAGCAGGCACTGTCCCCGGGACGGGGGGAGCCCTGTGGCCGGCCGCCCCCGCGCACAGCACACCGACACCCCGCGCCCCTTTGTGCACCCCTGCGCAGGTGGCCCCGGCGGCCCCGCCCCCGGCCCCCCGAGGCCGGCACGGACGCCCGGCGCCCGGGGCGGCCCCTCCTCGCCCTCGAAGCGCAACTTGGCGCCCGCCACAGAAACTTTTCCCCCCGCCTCAGCGCGCCCGGGTCTCGCGGCCCCCCACGGGCGGCCGCGGCGGCGGGGTCGGCGGCGGGGGCGCCCGGGGGCGCCGCACTCACCCCCACACCACGTAGTTGGTCTTCACGTTCTTGGGCCAGGAGAACTCGCCGAAGATCACCTCGTCCCCCTTCACCACGATCTCCTTCTTCTGGATGTTGTACTGTCGCAGGACGCTGAGCACGTCCGCCATCTTCTCCCTTCGCCGCCGCCGCCGCCGGCCCGGGCGCCGCCGCCGCCGCCGCGCCTGCCGCCGCCGCCGCCTCGCCCTCTCCCGGCTGCCGCTCCGCCGCCGCCGCCGCCGCCGCCGCCGCCGCCGCGGCGCGCCCACAGCAGCAGCACCAACAGCCGCCCTCGCCCACGACAGCAGCAGGGGCAGCAGCCACCCAGGCCGCCAAGGACCCCGCGCTGGAAGGCAAGGCCCCGCCGCCGGCTGCCCGCGGAGAACGCCTGACTGCGCGCCTCCAGCGCCGCACGGCCGCCGCCAGGGGGAGCCGCGGTCGCCAGGGAAAGAAAGTGCCCCTCCCAGGCTCCCCCGCGGCACCGAGCCGACTCCCTCCGCGGATCGCCGAGCGCAGGGACGCGCCGCCCACGCACGGCGACGCACGGACGCGCAGCGCGGGGCCGGGCGCGCGCGCGCTCGGCGGCGGCGGCAGGTGCACGCGCACCTGCGCGGCGGCCCCGGCGCGGGCTCTGAGCCCCTCGGCGGCTCACGTGGCTCGCGGCGCGAGGCTCGCGGGCCTCTGGCCGAAGGCCCGGTGGGGCCCAGGCGTTACCTGGGCGGGTGGGTCGGGCCCACTCCTACCTCTGGGTGTCTAGGGCTTGCTGGTCCGGATGAGCCCCTGTACAGGTGGTGTTGGGGTGGGTTTGCAAAGCGGCACCTGGCACCGCTGATTGTTGGAGCCTGCTCACCTCTCTCCCCTGTACCCTGCATCAGGTGGTCAGTGGGGTGAGGGGGATGGGTTAATGCACGAGGACGGTGAAAAGCACCCAACAAGTCAAGAAAACACCAAGAATACGAGAGCTGCCCGCGCCAGGCCTCGAACCTAGTATTCCACGACGGCCCTTTCTCCCGGCCAGCCTCAGGGTGCGACAGGTGCCTCCGCTGGGAGGTGCACATGGGAGGCTCGATGGGGTCCGTGAGACACTGGCCACGTTGGAGAAGTTCGAGATGCCATGGCCTGGGTGCCGTAATCAAAAAGCCCTGTAAGTCCCGGATGTTTTTGTAACCTTTTCCTGTGTCAGGAGGGAGCAGGGGCGATTTTGTGGCTGGCAAATGCTTTGACCTGCTTTAGGGGAAAAAAAAATCCATTTTTGTTAACGTGCCCAGTAGGGGGATGTGGGTCAGTTCTGATCTCTAGCGGTTCTACCGCTGTGAATTTGACATGTTTCGTCTGTTCTACCAGGATTGTCACCCTTGTGATGTTTTCCTGAACCACATCCCAAGCTCAAAAGAACTGCACTTTTTGTGCCACTCACCTGGATCAGACACCTCCTGTTACTTGGTTTTCCTTGTTAGTTACCTTACCTCCATCCTACAAAACTAAAGGGCGGGCAGGCGCCGCGGCTCACTAGGCTAATCCTCCACCTAGCAGCGCCGGCACACCGGGTTCTAGTCCCAGTCGGGGCGCCGGATTCTGTCCCGGTTGCCCCTCTTCCAGGCCAGCTCTCTGCTGTGGCCCGGGAGTGCAGTGGAGGATGGCCCAAGTGCTTGGCCTCTGCACCCACATAGGAGACCAGGAGAAGCACCTGGCTCCTAGCTTCGGATCAGCGCGGTTGGGGGGTGAACCAACAGCAAAGGAAGACCTTCTTTCTGTCTCTCTCTCTCACTGTCCACTCTGCCTGTCAAAAAAAAAAAAAAAAAAAAACCTAAAGGGCGGTACACCTGCATGGTCATGGTCATAGCCTTGTGTCTTGCCTGTTATTTGGTACATAATAGGCCCCTCAGCCCAGTCCAGTTTCAAATAATACAATACTATATTGCTTCATAGCTAGTGTGGCCCCTCATAATAAAATAATCTTAATTTCCAAGCTGTGTGCAATCCATGCCTATAATCACTCTTCAAACAGTTCATGGGAAATGTTTGTTATGGAAAACTATGGGTTTGAAAATTGCACCAAAATAAACTTACCTTTTCATTCCATTTTCCATGAATTTTTGTTGTCCTCGCATATCTCCATACATATGCGAGGGAGAGTTCTGCCTTCCACTTTTTCACTCCCCAAATGCCCACAACAGCCAGGGCCAAGCCAAAGCCGGAAGCCCAGAAATCAGTCTGGTCCCCCAGCAAGTGAGAGAGACCCGAGTACGTGAGCCACTGTCTCCCAGGGTGTGCATTAGCAGGAAGCTGGCTCAGAAGCAGAGAAGCTAGAACTTGAACAGGGCACCCCACTGTGAGTTAAGGGCATTCCAAGTTTGGATTTATGCAGGAATTTAACAGCTGCACCACATGCCTGCCCTTCTTTACATTTTTTAAATGTATTTATTGGAAAGAATGACAGAGAAGGAGGGAGAGATCAAGAGAAGAGACCTTCTATGTACTGATTCACTCCCCAGATGGCCACAAAGGCCAGTGCTGGGCCAAGGTGAAACCAGGAATCAGGAACTCTCTCCAGGTCTCCCACATGGATTGCTGGGGCACAAGTACTTGGTCCAGCCTCTGCTACTTTCCCAGGCACATTAGCTGGGAGCTGTATCAGAAGTGGAGCAGCACTTCAATAATGGAATGCCGGCATTGCAAGTGGGGGCTTAACCCCCACCTCAACGTCTGCCCTCTCCTTTACTTTTGAAGAAAAATTTCACAAAGTACAGAATTCTAGTTTGATGAGGATTATTTTTTCTCAGAATGTTAAATATTTCATTTAATTTTCTTGTTTGCATGGTTTCTAAGAAGTTTGATGAAATTCCTATCTTTATTCATCTATAAAGTTTTTTTTTTTCCCAAAGCTTTTTCAATGAACACAATGTTAGTATATATTAATGGGGGACAGCATGATAATTTGATTAAAATACACAGTGTGTAATGATCAAAGCAAGATATGTAGCATTTCCATCTTATCAAACCTTTATTGTGGGCCGGCACCGTGGCTCACTTGGTTAATCCTCTGCCTGCGGCACCGGCATCCCATATGGGCACCAGGTTCTAGTCCTGGTTGCTCCTCTTCCAGTCCAGCTCTGTGCTGTGGCCCGGGAGGGCAGTGGAGGATGGCCCAAGTGCTTGGGCCGCTGCACTCACATGGGAGACCAGGAGGAAACACCTGGCTCCTGGTTTCAGATCGGTGCAGTTCCGGCCATAGTGGCCATCTTGGGGGTGAACCAATGGAAGGAAGACCTCTCTCTCTGTCTCTCTCTCTCTCACTATCTATATCTCTACCTGTCAAATAAATACTTATAAAAAAACCTTTATTGATTTTATGTTACCAACCTTCAGTCTGCTTTTCTTCTAGCTACTTTGAAAGATGTAATAAGTTGTTGTAGACCATAGTTAATATAGTATGCTATATAACTCCAGAACTAATCCTTCCTAACTGTATTTTGGTATCTGTTAACAGAATTTTTAATGATTTTTCTGAAATTTAAAAATTATATAACTAGGTGTAGTTTTAAGTTGTAAGTGTGTGTATGGGTGTGTGTGTGTGTGTGTGTGTGGATTTGAAAAGGCAGAAAGACAGATTTTCCATCTGTTGGTACCTTATAGATGCCCTCAACAACTGGGGCTAAGCCAGGCCAAAACCAAGAGCTAGGAACTCCCTCTAGGTCTCCCTGTTGTCTTCCAGAAAGTAGATTAGCAGGAAGCTGGAATTGGAAGCAGAGTGGAGACTCCATCTGAGGACTCCAATATGGGGTGCAGGTAACCCAAGTGGTGTTTTAACCACTATGCCAAACACATGCCCCTTTTGTGGCTGTTTTTGCATTTGTCCTCCTGATGTTCTCTGAGTTCCTGGACCTGTGGTTTTGGTATCTGACATTGGGGAAATCCTGTCATTATTGATTCAAGTATTTACGTCCCTTTCTCTTTTCACTTGATGTTCCTTGTAAAGAGTTGACTAGGACTTGCCGCCAAAACTCATGCAGATGTTTACACTCGATGTCTTAAGGGTGGAGACTTATCGAATGGTGGCTTGGAGGTGGGTCTGGTGAGTGGTGTTTTAGGTCTTTGGGAGCATGGCCTTGAAGGGTGGTTCCCAAGAGCGTATTTATTATTTTGAGCTCAAGTTTGGCCTGCCTCCCTTTCTGCTTCCTGGTCACTGTGTGGTCATTCCTCCACACCTGCCTTGGCCACTGTTCACAGATGCTGCTTTTAGGGCCACCCAACCCTGACCTGTAAGCTCCAAACTTTAAGCTGCAAGAAACCTTGTCTTGTCCAAGAAGCTCCTCTTGGTACTTCAGTTGAAGAAATAAAAAGTGGACTAAGTCATTTCCATGACGTCTACATTACACCTCCGTAGATGTCACAATCCTTGGGTACTGTTCTGTTTTTTCTCTTTATTCTCTGCTTTTTAGTTTTGGAGGCATGTCCGGTCTACTAATAAGCCAGTAAGAGGCTTTCTTCACTTATGTTGTGGTGTTTCTGATCTCTACTGTTTCTTTTTGGTTCTTTCTCAGGATTTCCATCCCTCTGTTTGCATTGGCCGCCTTTTCTTGCAAGCTGTATGCCTCGTCCATTAGCATCCCAAGCATATTAATCATTGTTTTAAATACCCTACCTGATCGTTCAAACAGCCCTGCCATGTCTGTTTCAGGTGCTCGTGCTGTCTCCTCAAATTGTGTACTTTGAATTTTAGTGTGCCTTATAATTTTTTGTTGATAACTGGACATGATGTACTAAGTAAGAGAATCTGCTCTAAATAGACCTTAGTGACGTGACGTTTAGGTGTCAGGAGAAGGGAAGCCTTCTGCAGTCCCAGGTTAACTCCCAGTCTTCTAGCAAGCGTGTACCACTGCACTGGGGACCTCGCTTGTGCTGCTCAGCTTACTGCACCCCCTTAGCCCTAGGTGTAACACAAGATGGCCAGAGTGATCTGCAGTCCAGTGTCCCCTTCTCCCATTTGGAAGACTAGAGCTAGTTGGAGTTGGGCACTTTCCGTCTCCAAGGTCAGCTAGGCTCCAATAAAACCCCCACAAGATTCAGACTCTGATCAACTAGCTTTGTTACAGACCTTGTTAAGAAAAACAAAGTACGCTGGTATATTTCAAAATTATCCCTATTCCCTTCCCCTGCTAGAAAATTAGGAGATTTGTCCAGACATTACTGTGAGAGCCCGGT